ACTTTCTGACTCTTGATTGATTGACACAGCTGGCTGTACCTTATTTTGTCCGGTGGAGAACCCGAAAATAAAGAAAATATAAAAAAGAAAATCATTTATTTATTTAAATTCGTCGAGATCGTAGTAGATACGAGTTGATCAGACAGTGCCAGAGGTGCCACGTGTATTCAGACCCGCTTGCCAGAGGTGGCAGTGGAATTGATTTTGTATCTGTAGTTTTCAGAGTAGCTGTCAGAGCAGTAAGTGGACCCAAAAAAAATAGTTTCCCTTAAAAATAATATTTTTTAATTAAAAAATAAAATTTGTTCTCATCGGGTTGAGAGCCTTGCGGTGTCGCTTCATGTGAAATGCTATTTTGTCGGTGCCAAAAGAAAAATTAAGAGAAAAGCCCGCGCAATTTTCGAGCGAAAATTAAACGAAGGTGTGCCTTCAATTTGTACGAATAATAAAATTTTTGTTTTTAAAATAATTAAAAGTGTTTTTTTAGGTTTTAAAAAAGAATTTAGAGTGTTTTTTTTTTTATTAAGAAGTACATAACTATACTTCTTACAAAGTTTTTTTTTTAGAATTTTTAAAGCTTAAAAATATTTTATCTAGAAAAGTTTTTACTCATTTTAATAATTTTTCTAAAGAAAATATGTATAGTTGTTGTATTTTTGGTGCATAATTGCCATCGCACAAGACAAAAATTATTAATTTTGATGATGATATGAGGCATAATCTATTGTCTTCATTAGATTATAGAAGAGTGTTGAAATGCACTTATTGTCTGCACTGGATGAGCTACTTTCACAGTTTATATTTTCTTGGTGTGAAATAGTTTATGAAATCTTTTGGGGAGATTTGGTTTATTAACTTGTAATTATTGCTTTAACGAAGAGGTGTATGTGTAGTTCTTTCATAACTTGTTGGCTTTTTGATACGATCAAACGTCTGTAGTAGATTTTGTATTCGACTAACTTCTAAATTAGTGATTACTTGCCGATGAAATAATCGTTTTGATCCAATGAGGAATTTGCAATAAAATAAGTTTGTGCAGCACTCATTTTTGGTGAGGCTGTTGATGAAAATAAATTCACTTGTTGCTTGAAACATTGAAGAAAATGATACTTCCTTTTGAATTTTATACGTTTGGTGTGGTGATTTAACAAGTACCCATTAATTGCCACTTAGTATTACGATATAGTAGTATTCTTCTTTATTTGTAAGTGAAAGGTCTTAAGTTCGATTCTCGCCAAAAATGAATTTGAATCACATTATTACTAGCTTATTGTGAGACTAAGCACATCCTCTTCCTTTAGTCTAGATAACATCGATTGTTCAAAAAAAAAAAAAAAAAAAAAAAAACAAGTGCCCATTAACTAGTTTGTTAAGCTTAATCATATGATTCAAATCATGTTTTAGAGATGTAATTATTAGTGGATTATTTGTGCCCAACCAAGCCCAAAAACAAAACCTACATGTAAAGCCCTAAATCCTCAAAGCCCAGCAGTTCATCCCACCAGCGATCCTTGTTCCTAAAACTGGTCAACAATTTATTACCGACACAATAGAATAAATTTGTCAATGGTTCTGTTACATAGTACTATAAAACATTTTCAGTCATTTTAAAATTATTTTTAATTAAGTTTTTAAATGAGTTGAGTTAATGAATTTATTTTATCAGTAAGTAAGTTTATCAATCATTTTAAAAGCAATTTCGAACAAGCCTTCATGTCATATTTAGGCTAGTAAGTTTAATACTCACTTGAAAAGCAATTTTGATATATGGATTTATTTTTTTATTAATATACTTTAAAAGCATAGCAAAAGAAAAACTATGTTGTTTATGCATATTATACACGTGAAATGATAAAATTCCATAATAACAGTATAACTTCTATAAATTTGAGTTGAGAAAAAAGACTCACATGCACAGATACACTACAACGTTAATGTCACAAATCAATGAAATAAAGATGTGTAAGTATTTGTACGTATATTCTCGTTTAGCTGGTATGATGTCTCATAACGATATACCTGCGTATGTAAGTTGCTATCCTGAATTGTATGAGTAAAGTAATTAGTCATGGTATCTCACTGGACGCATTGCCATGCTAGTAACGTTCACACATCCAATAGCAAACTCAAAAGAAGAAGAAAATAACATAAAGTATGGATCGACAATGACATATTAACGTCGCTCTTGATTATTTTTTGTGCACCTTCATTGAATCTAATTTGCTTAAAGATAAATATAAACATTTCAACGGTTCATAATATAGACTCGTGATTATTTAATTTGACTTTTTTGCTTCCTCATAAACTTTATGCTTTGAAATTATAATGTTGTACCAACAAGATAAGGGTGCCTTCATTACCATAAAAATCAAAATCAGAAAATGACATGTCACTCATTCCTCACTATTTGTTCTTTTGTTGATCAATAAAATCGATCACACGATCAATTTTGTATGTAAATAAAAATGTTATTTAATTGAAAAGAAAAGAAAAAGTGTTCTTTGCAACTAAATGTGTTTCAGGAAAAGCATCAGTAGTAGCGGATTGCCTTAATAAAGAGGTATTCGTTTTCAACTTTTACATTTTGGGTTCGAACTCTTCCTAATAATGTTATCGTTTTTAATAAAATAAATTATTTTTAACACATTAACGACTACATCTCTGTCCCATATGAAAGATGTGACAAATGAACCAAAATCACCTATGTGACAAATGGGTTCATGAATTGTAGTCCATAACTTTTGGCAAATTTGGGTCCTTCACTGAGGAAATATCTAGGGCAAAGCTCGCTACTTTGGCAAAACTATAGCCAGTAGTATCTACAAAAGTCCATGTGTATTCTGTGTTTGTTCGATAGGTCCCCTAATATAATCTCTTATATGAACAACAACGACTTACTTGCGAAATAAACAATTACAATATCTACGTATTAAGAAAAAAAAATTTATACTGTACTTTTTTTTTTTTTTTTTTTTGCTTTTGGCCGATATTAGCCATATATGAATTTATTATCACAATTTTTATTTTATTTTCACAAATGCAAAGATTTTTATTTGCTCTAATTTTTGAAAGAATGATTCAAACTTATGTTCAAGGAGACGGACACACTGTCCTCCCATGATTTGGTAGAGAAGAAAAACAAAGGCAGATGATCTAAATGGTAGAATATATATATATATATATATATATATGTATATGTATATATATATATATGTGTGTATATATATATATGTGTATATATATATATATATTTTTTTTTTTTTTTTGTCAAATGATAGATTTATTAGATTAGGAAGCCGACGAGGTTTGAACCCACATCGCGGTGCAAGTGTAACATCCCACATCGCCTAGGGGGAGTGGATCCTGTAAGCCTTATATGTATATTCCCATCTCTACCTAGCATGATGCCTTTTGGGAGCTCACTGGCTTCGGGTTTCATTAGAACTCCGAAGTTAAGCAAGTAGCGCGCGAAACAATCACATGATGGGTGACCCACTGAGAAGTTCTCGTTTGAGTTTCCAGAAACAAAACCGTGAGGGGGTGGTCCGGGCCCAAAGCGGACAATATTGTGCTATGGTAGAGTCGAGCCCAGGATGTGGTGGGGGCCCGGGCCGGGATGTGACAATTTGATTGTTCTCGCGCGCTACTTGCTTAACTTCGGAGTTCCGATGAAACTCGAAGCCAGTGAGCTCCCAAAAAGCCTCGTGGTAGGTAGAGATGAGAATATACATATAAGGCCTATATGATCCACTCTCCTGGACAACGTGGGATGTTACAGCAAGGGCAACGCTCCTCTCTATCATTGTGGTAGAGGGGCACTTGTAATGGTAGAATGTTTCTTTGTTTTCCTTCTAATCTTTATCTTAGGATGTTTTTTAATCAAAATTTAGATAAAAAGTTGAACCAAAAAAAAAAAAAGGAAAAAAAAAAAGAGTGCGGAAAAGGCAGAACACAATTTAGCTAAAAAAATGCAAAAAACAAATGTGGCTGCTGGGATTCGAGCCCAGGTCTCCACGGCCACAACGTGGAATTCTTACCACTAAACTACAGCCACTGATGTTAGCGAACCTAGGTTAAGTTATTTTTTTATAAGCTTTATTGTTCTTTTCATCCAAATTTACCTACGTATTCCCAGGTCCTGAAAAGTTTAGCGGGAAGGCTACCTCATCTCAAGACATACAAGTCTTTTTGAGGACTTATATAAGGGTTTTAGTGAAGATAATGATCCTTATTGTTCATTTACAGCTAACGTTGTTTATATATGTTTTTTTTTTTTTTTTTTTTTTTTTTTTGTTTGTCAATTGTTTATATATGTTTTGAGGTTGACATAAATTGGCTTCGCTCGGCCTTATCGAGCCTGATCCTTCTAGTTCAAGTACGTACAATCTTTCCGTATCTATTCCATTTTCAGCCCTAGACCCTGGCTGGGAAGCAACGCTTCCGATGGCTTCCGATGAGGACGAAGGGGTCTTTGAGGAGTAAGATGAATCCCTATTAGCCACCTCAGCTTCCTCTGCATTTAGAGTGGTAATTTTTGCGTACGGAATATATAAAACTATTGTCTTATTGAAATTCAGGACATTGTCTTATTTTATTTGTAGGGGACTTGATGCGATTAATTCAAAAGAATGGACGCGTAGTAGCCTATACATGTCTTCATATCAGACTGTTGAATACTTATGCAGCCACTCGGTACCCATGATCTAGAGTCTAGCTGTTGCAGAGTCTGCTATGAGGAATATAACTCGAAACATGGTTGAAATCTGTTGAAGATTATGACCATACATGACAGACGATTTCAGCACATATTGGGGAGGGGAGAGTAGGGTACTAGTCATCCAGAGAGTACCTTTATGAAGAAACAACAACAAAAATAAGCCTTTTCCCACTCAGTTAGGATCTTTATGAAGAAACGAAACGACTAAATGTCCAACTTTCTTCGAATGCAAACTTATACTTGCTGACCTAAAGTGACAAACAAATAAACCATTGCAAAAGCATTTAGTAGAAACTCAAACAGTGGCATGAATTCAAGCAGCACAACCAATTTAAATTTGTAACTAGATTCATCCACACATATGTTCCCATCCAAGATTTTCAAAAGCTTGAGCTTACAACGGTCTGACTTTTACTGCTTGAGAAAATACACCAGCACTAGAGATAAAAAGTTTCCAAGGCAAGCAAATAAACTAGGACATCAGGCATTGCAAACACGGGCAGTTCAGGCAGTTCCAAGCAAAGGGCGTTGCAGCACAATAAATATGCAACAAAAGAAAACACAGGTTATCAACAGAAACCGCTATATTAGTAAAAGCTAATTCGTTAGATTATAATCGACAGCAAGAGTGAGAATGTAACTTCCTCTTCAATCTATACAATGAATAAAAGATCTGATTTGAAGTTGAACTATTTCATCAATGAAAGCGATGGGAAACAGGAATTCAACTCATCTTCTACAATGAGACTTCAAGTACATATAAAAAAGACCACACTAACCATGTTAAATTGAAGAAGAAGAAAAGAAAATCCACCAATTTATTAACATCAACCTGCAATGTTCTGTTCTCAGCACTACAATCACATGACCTGTTCTTTCTTTTAGTAAGAAACTGCCTTGGTCTTGTCTAGTAAGAGGAGGCTCTCTTCATAAGAATCAAAAGAGTAATACTGATACCTGCAAGCCCCAATATTCTTCAATTGCTTGCTCTCAATGTCTAAGGAAACAAAATCATGCTTTATTATATTTATTTTACCTAAAGTGTCGGGGGACCCTCGAATCAGTAACAAGACCTCGCCACTCTTCCTAAAACATAATGCCCTCGGTAGAAGTCTTTCTGGACATTGTGGACCGAGACTAATCAATTTGGTCCATGACTCCTTTATGCCATACTCTCATTACCGACACAGAGCAATACAATTTTGGTCTACCGACACAGACAATTGCAGTCCCAACGAGGAACTCCATCTGCAACTCTCTGGAATCGATAACTCGCTAAATAAACAAATGCCCAAATCAAAGGTTAATATAAAATAATAAAAACCATCATCTTTCCTGCGGAGGACAGGCCAATGAAGAGTCCCTTTAACCAAAGTCTGGGAAGCAGCTCCACATACCTCACATGCAGGTGCAACAATACCAAGACTGCTCCATGAGCCCGTGCCTAGTGAATACACCCCAGGTCAAATGCCACATAAAATAGTGAAAGCCACCATTTGTCAAACTGGTTGCAGGCCAATGAAGAGCACCATTAACAAAAGCCTGGAATGCAGCTCCATCTATTCGGAAGGAAGGAGGAACAGAACCAAGCCTGGTCCACGGCCCTTGGTTAGTGAATTAACCTCTAACTACTTGACATTTTCAGATATAAGACGGACAAGTCTCACAACCTTACAGTCATTTGTCATAGCATCAAAACCGAACCCAATAGTAGCATCATACTAGCAATGCGCACTAAAGGTGACACCAGGCCTAGGAAGGGTCAGTGACTTTCTGATAAAAAGGGTTCAATGTAATGAAGTTTCTAAATCATAACGGAAGATATCATCTGCAAGGCATACCAACCCATCACAAACCACACGGAAAAACGAATTCTCCAGTTTCTCCTTGTGGGCAATTGGAAAATCTATGGTGCATTACTCGTCAAAAGATTGGTTATCATAAATCATAGAGGAATATTAAAATTCGGTGAGGTGGGCGCAAACTACGACGCATGGGTACAATGGTTTACCCCCATCTCGCGTATATGACACGCGGGGGATACATTTCGGAGTCAACAGATATGTAGTTGACTATCGGGATGCGAATATCCGATTTTCCAGATACGGTTGACACTAAATCCAGAGGATAAGCATAAAAGGTAAAATATAAGTGCACTAAATCTGCCTTTTTTTTTCCTCACTCGAAAATCAGCAATCATACTCTGGTGGGAGAGACCTTCGCCGTCTGCAACTCTATGTGTGCTGGTTGCGTCCTCTGCAAGTGTGCTGGGTGCAACTGCAAGTATGCTAGTTGTCGTTTATAACAGCAAGTGTGCTGGCTGTTTCGATGTGAACAGCAGAACATGTAAGAGATATCTTCAAGTAATCATGTGTAATTGGCTAGATTCCCTTGGGGTGTGTTTAAATCGTCAAAGAGATCTCTTCATGTCAAAACTTCAGGGGGTGCCTTTAATATATTGGGTGTCTCACAACGATCAAGTATTTAATCACTAACTGTTACTATAATATATGGTTTAGTTTGTAGGTTAGTGGCTTTAATCTTATGGTTTATATGTTTTGCTAATCTTGGAAATGATCATCCTGATTAGGATGTTAATGTTAATCTGGATGAGAATCTTGAAAATAAGTTGGATGATTATGCTCTATTGTGGAAGTATGTCAAAAAACTCTAAAGTGTGGTAAATAGAGGAGAATGAAATACTGTGTTTGAATGCAACTATTGTCAAAAAAAATTTCAAAGGATCCTACCCTAGGGAATGGAATCGCGTCTTGCCACAAGATTACTGATGAAACTTTTGCAGAAATGAAAAAGCTAGTTCGAGAGTGTGAATACAAGCTGAAGAGTTCAGCTCCAAGGCAAGTTTCTTTGCCCAATACTGGTTCTTTCTTTTATGCTCAACCTTAAGTAAATCTTGATCCAAAGAAGAGAAAGGAAACAAGTGTGCCTCTCAGTAAAGCTTTTAACAAGGAGGCTAGAGATCAATGTGTTGCTGAAGTTGAAAGGATGTTTTACATAGGTGTTTTATCCTTTAACCTTGCAAAAAATCCACTCTATTGGAACTTGTGTCTTTGTGCTTCTACACTTCCAAGGTATGTTCCACCAGGTTACAATGCATTGAGAATTACTCTTTTGCAACAAGAGAAGAATCACATCCAGCGATGCCTCCAACTAATCAAGCATACATGGAGCACTAAATGTGTAAGTCTGTGTAGTGATGGGTCAACAGAAGCACAAAGGAGACCACTTATTAATATTATGACAACTTGTGAAAGCAGGTCTATATTCTTGAGGGCAATTAATTGCGAAGGTGAATACAAAGATGATAATTGTATTGCCAACTTCCTTACAGAAGCCATTAAATAAAATAGTTGTGAAAATGTAATTCACATGGTCACTGACAATGACCCTATTTGTAGAGCTACTGAATTACTTATTGGGGCCCACTGTCCCAACATATTTAGGGTGTGAACAACACATGGTGTCCAAAAGATGTTGGTATAGTGTGCCTCATCAAGTAATCCAACTCCTTAAACAGAGGCATTGTCGGTGATCACTTGAACTACATTTTCATAACCAATTTCTTTAATGGCTTCTGTAAAGAAGTTGGCAATACAATGCTTTTCTTCGTATTCACCTTTGCAATTAATTGCCTTCAAGAACATAGGCCCACTTTCACAAATTGGCATAATATTAATAGGTGGTCTCCTTTGTGCATTTGTCCACATAATTACAGACTTACACATTTAGTGCTCCATGTATGCTAGATTGGTTGGAGGCATCGCTCAACGTGACTCTTCTCTTGTTGCATAAGAGTAGTTCTCAGTGCATTGCAACCTGGTTGAGCATACCCTTGAAGTATAGAAGCACAAAGATACGAGTTCCGATAGTTATGATTTTTTGCAAGGTTAAATGATAAGCTACACGTGTAAAACATTCTTGCAACTTTAGCATCACATTGATCTCTAGCCTCCTTGTTAAAAGCTTTAATGAGAGGCCCATTTGTTCCCTTCTCTTATTTGGGTCAAGATTCACTTCAGGTAGAGAATAACAAAAAGAACCAGTATTGGGCAAACAAACTTGCCAAGGAGCAAAACACTTTAGCTTGTATTCGCACTCTCGAACTAGCTTTTTCATTTCTGTAAGGGTTTCATAGTAGCTTATTGCAAGACGCGATCCCATTTCTAGATATTTTCAACAAATAAAACTTGACCCTAAAGTAAGATCCTCTGGAAGTTTATGACAATAGTGGCATTCAAACACAATATTTCATCCTCAATTTCCCACTCTTTCAAGGTTTTTGACATACTACCACTGTGGAACATGATCATCTAAATTATTTTCAACATTCTTATCCGAATTAACTTTAGCATTCGCTTGATTATCATGCTGATTCATTTTCCTAGATTAACAAAGCATATAAACGATAAGAATACAAACTAAATAATATTATAATTTATATGGGAAACAGGTTTCAACACTAAATCACTCACATACAAATACAAACTAAATAACATTATAATGACATTTAGTGATTAAAGGTTTGATCGTTGGGAAAATCCCAATATATTAAAGGCACCCCTAGGAAATCTATCCAGATACACATGATTGCTTGAAGAGATCTCTTACCTGTTCTGCTGTTCAAATCGAAACTCAGTTACACAGAACCAGCAGCCAGCACACTTGCTACAGACGACGCAGTCTGAACACTTGCAGTTGCAGATGACGAAGCCAAGATACTTGCAATTGCAGACGACGGTCGACGGTGAAGGTCTTTCCCACCAAAATCTGATTTCTGAAGTTCAAGTGAGGAAAAAAAAAGGTAAAGATCTGAATTTTTACACAGATAATATTGGTAAAGAATTGTTTCAATTTTTGGTCAAAGAATCGTTTCAATTCAGGCTAACTTCAATGAATTCTCAATTATCACGATTCTCTTCGGATTTAGTGCACTTATCTTTGATTTTATTTGTTTATTATTGTCCTCTAAATTTAGTGCCAAACTTATCCAGACAGTCGGATACTCATATCTCAATAGTCAACTACGTATCTGTTAACTCCGATACGTATATGTTGCGTGTTGTATCCCAATTGTCGAGTGCCGTACGTATCTGTACATAAACCACCGTGTCCCTGCATCGTAGCATAATGCACAGAGTAAAAGTCTTTTGTTACTACGTCAACTAGTGTTTAGGCTTTTGTAACCAGAAAATACGGTGGTGTATGAGGATGTGAATATCATTCTGGTTATAAAGGTTGATTATTAGGCTGAGGTGGGCTCCAATGAAGCGTGGGTCTCGGATAACGGATCTCCATGTCTTGCTCACTAAGTTGCATATGATCAAAGATTTAAGGGGTAATTTAAATAGGATGTCGTCGGGAAAGAGTATCCCCTTGCTTCAAATTTGAATTGAATTTCTGCAGTTTTGATCGTTAGAGTGGGTACGAGAGAATTTGAATCCAAACCAATGCACCTTATAAGATAATACCCACACAAAGAATTAAACAATGAAGAATAATCTACAATCGGAAGAAAGCAAATAACTACAGCACAAAAAAAAACCTAGAAATCTAAACCCTGCATTAATATTAAGATTAGAAAACAAAACCAGAAAAGGAAAACATTTTAATAACTGAAATATAGCAGAAGAACGTTCTTGTCAAGAAAATAAAAGCCTAAAATATAGCAAGAATTTGTGTAGACAAACCCTAGCAAACCCTAAGTATTCAGACAATCATATGAAATCCAATCTTCCACTTTATAAACGTCAAATGGGTAAAATAAAAGCTCTGAAGAAATCCGGAAGAATGAAAAGGCTAAAGAACAGAAATATACCAAAGGCGCCGAAATATGGAGTTGAGGAAGCTTTTTCTTCTGACGTTGGGGAATAAGAATGCAACTCTGAATTTCTACCCGTGTTCTAAACCCGCGGTTTCTTTAACCTTTATATAGAACTTGCACCGCACGATTCATACAGCGGCTACATTGTTATGCCTTTTTTTTATTGTATGTTTATTTTATTAATCTTGTGAAATAAAATATTCAGAAAATATGACTTTAACCTCTCAAATTCAATTTTTTTTTTTTTTTCATATAAAACCTGACATAATTTTTTTACTTTAAAAAAACCTAGTGACTAGGATCCACCTAAGGCCCTGTTTGGTACACCGTATAAGGCACCGGATAGGACTAATAATACGGTGTACTGTGTTTGGTGACCGTTTGGATTAAATAGGCACCAGACTAAATAATCCGAGCCCACCTTTTTTACCCGATGCTTACCCGCTTGGTAATACCGTGCAAATGCACAGTACAACTTAGTCGGGCTTTGGTTGGAAAGACCAGTCTTCCGCGCCATCTCTTCCTTTACATGCGCTCTCCAGGTGCTCTCCAGGCGCTCTTTCTTCCTCTCCAGGCGCTCTCTCTTCCTCTCATCCCAGGTTCGTCTTCTCAACTTCTTCTTCTTCTTCGTTTGAATCACAGTTCGTCTTTTCAGATTTCTTCTTCTAGGATTCCGCCCCTCCCTCTATTCTTCCCTCTCCTCCTATTTTTCTTGCAATTTTCTTTCAATTGATTGAATCTAGTTATCATTTTCTCTCTAATTATGCAATTGATTATGTAATTTTGTGTTTTAATTAGAATTTTTGAATTTTAGGGTTTTCTATTGGGGTCGAATTTAGGGTTTGTTGTTGGTGTTGAACTTACAATTTTAACTCTGTGTGTGTGTGCGTGCTTGCAATGCAAGAGAAAACCAAGGGTAAGGCGTGTGTGTGTGTGCATGCGTGCTTGCAATGTGCGCAGCTTGTGTGTGTGCGTGCTTGCAATGCAAGAGAAAACCAAGGGCAGCGTGTGTGTGTGTGTGCGCGTGCGCCCTTGCAATGCAAGAGAAAACCAAGGGCTGTGTGCGCGCGCGCGCTTGCAATGTGCACAGCTTGTGTGTGTGTGCGCGCGCGCTTGCAATGTGCACAAATTGTGTGTGTGTGTGTGTATGTGTGTGTGTGTGGACACATATATTATACCGTGTGTGTGTGTGTGTGGACACAGATATTATACCGTGTGTGTGTGTGTGTGTGCCTGTGCTTGCAATGTGCGCAGATTGTGTGTGTGTGTGTGTGCGCGCGCGCTTGCAATGTGCGCAGATTGTGTGTGTGTGTGTGGACACAGATATTATACCGTGTGTGTGTGTGTGTCTGTGCTTGCAATGTGCGCATATTGGACACAGATATTATACCATGGGGCACGAAATCCTTATTCCTCTGTGTGTGTGTGTGAAAAATTTCGACATTTTTTGGATTATCTGCCTATGACATTTTTTGGTAGGACTTATTATCTGCCTATGACATTTTCTTATCTGCCTATGACATTTTTTATATGCCTATGACATTTTTTGGTAGAACTTATTAACATGCTTCCTTCCGTTTTTAGTGTTATTATGCATTCATGCTCCAGTTACTTAATTTTTTGCCACTATCTAATAATGTTATTTTATATTATCACTAGACATGGATCAAAGAAAGATTGTGGCATGCTTCATTGTTAACGTGTGGTACTTGAATATTGTGACTTGGTTGATGATGTGGTTCATCAAGAATCATAATTCAGCTAGAAGGCGGAATCGGCAACTTGCACTTAGAAATCGCACATTTGTTAGGAGAATGGTAGGGTCAGCCTATTTAGATAGCATATTAGGATATGATGATGTTCAGTGTGTGAACCAAATTAGAATGGATAGAAGAATGTTCCACTATTTATGTCAAATGCTTCGTGACCATGGTAGAGTAAAATTGGATGGTGTAGTGACAATGGAAGAACAAGTTTGCATGTTTTTGCATATACTTGCACATCATGTCAAGAATCGTACAATTGAGAGTAGGTTTTGTCGATCGGAGGAGACCATAAGTAGGTATTTCAATTCCATTCTACATGGAGTGTTAAGGCTACAAGGTACACTTTTGAAAGTGCCAGAACCCATTCCTAATGCCTACCTAGATCCTAAATGGAGTTGGTTTGAGGTATTCTTCATATTTTATAAAAATTACTTCTAAAATTAATGTAATTAAATATATTGAGCATACTAATGTTAATGATTTTTTTTAGAATTGCTTGGGGGCATTGGATGGGACTTACATTAACGTTCATGTCCCTGAGCGAGATAAACCAAGATACCAATCAAAGAAGGGAGAGATTGCGACCAATATGTTGGGAGTCTGTAATGTGGACATGAATTTTATATTTGTGTACCCAGGTTGGGAAGGGTCGGCATCTGATTCTAGAGTACTCCGAGATGCGATAAGTAGACCATCGGGATTAAAAGTTCCCACGGGTAACAATAAATTATTTGTTTATATTAGTAATTTGAATCCTCTTTTTTCTTATATATAGTAATATACATTTTTTTGTGTGTTAGGATGTTACTACCTTGTGGATGGTGGGTACACAAATGGTCCAGGATACCTTGCACCGTATAAGGGAGTGCGTTACCATCTCTCGGAGTGGAGAAATAGAAGACTCCTGATTAATCATGAGGAGTATTTCAATATGAAACATGCTCAAGCTAGAAATGTCATTGAGAGATGTTTTGGACTACTTAAGATGCGTTGGAGCATCTTAAGAGGTCCATCATTTTTCCCAATTAAAACACAATTTAGGATTATGACAGCTTGCTGCCTATTACATAATCTTATTAGAAGGCATATGTCAGCTGATCCAATAGAAAATGAAATCCTAAACTTGGATGAATCTGAAAGTAGTGATGATGATGAAGATATGATTGACAGTGTTCAACCTACACAAGAATGGACTGCATGGAGAAACACTTTGGCTATGAATATGTACAATGAGTGGCATGCACAAGTGTGATTTGATTAAATTTTTTTACATATGCATGTTGTGATTTGGTTATGGTTTGTTATTTGAACAAATAGTGATTTCTTATGTATTCGGTTATGATACTTTATTCAAACAAAGTGCAACCTGGTTATGTATTTATTTAAAAAGTGTGATGATTTGCTTATGGTTTTTGTCACTTACTATTAATTATATGCATTATTGATTATATGTCCTTATGCCAATATAAAGGGTGTTCCACATGTTGTGTATGTAATTGTAGGAATGGAAAGTGAACAAAATAGTCAACCAAAAGGAAGTAGAAGGGTTTGGAAACAACATGAAGAAGATGCATTGCTTTCCATACTTGAGGAGGCAGTTGTTAAGAATTTGCGATGTGGTAACGGTTGTTTCAAACCTGGAACAATGGCTCGGTTTGAAACAGCTATTAATTTGAAATGTCCTAATGCCAATATAAAGGCAGTTCCACATATTGAGTCCAAAATGAGGAGGTGGAAAAAAGATTATGCAATAGTTTATGACATGGTTAATAAAACTGGTTTTGCATGGAATGATGTACGAAAGTGTATTGAGGTTGATAGCACTGAAGTATGGCAATCCTATGTAAAGGTAATTCTCTAACATAATACTAGAATTTAACTTTACATATTTGATTACTTAACATGTTCCCTTACATACAATTTAATAGTACCAAACCATATCCTTTAGCCCTATTCATTATAACAGCTTAATTAAATTAATGGATGCTTGATTATATCAAGACAGGTTGAAGGGAACAAAATAAGATTGTTTGTATTTTATGGATAGTGTGATTTGTTTTCGCATTGTAGGTTAACAAAGAAACAGAAGGCTGGCTAGGAAAATCGTTTCCATTGTATGATAGATTGAATGTTATTTTTGGGAAAGACCAAGCAACCGGAGTAGGAGCTGCAACTCCTACTGAGATGATGAATGAGCCTGAGCCATTAATGAAGATGAACATGAGGTGGAGACTAGTTCTCCCTCTGTTGCTCGACGGTCTAGTAGTTCAAGTACCCGGAAAAGGAAGAGAGCTACTAATGATAATGATCTTGTTGTGGCATTTAAAGAAATGCTTTCTGAATCAGTTGATAAGTTGGGTGAAGTTTTACAAGTTGCTTTTGGGAAAGGAGTGGATCCAAAACCTGAGATTGTTTCAGAATTGTCAAAGATGGATTTGTCTATTGAGGATCAAATCAAGACACTAAATATCCTTTTCGAAAAGCCACAGAATGAGAGGACATTCTCGTCTTTGGATGGTGCAATGAAAAAAGCCTTTGTACTCATGTTACTTGGACAAAGTAACCCCAATTGACATTTCAAACCAACAACAATATATTTTGTTAAAAGTTGTAGCATGCATATATTTTGTTAAAAGTAGCATGCATATATTTTGGCTATCTGGACAAACTGTTTCTTATTGAAACCACCTTGCATTTGTATATTTTATGAACTTGGATATGTGGTTGGATTATATATCGTAACGATTGTAGTTGTTTTTTGTGAACCTTCTTTTATGTTATTGGAAAATATTTTGAATTTGATGTATGAAATTTACTATTTTTCTTTGTTATTTGAAAATTTATGTGGTTTTCAATAGGTATAAATATGAGAAAAGTTCAACAAACAAAGAAAGATTTGTTAAATTTTTTTTTCTTTTGTCCTATCCAGTTCAGTACTAAACACAGTATAAATAATACGGTCATTAATCCGATACTGCACTAAACGCCCGACTAATTTAGTCAGTACTATCCGGTGACTATTTATCTTATCCGATAGAAATAATCAGTACAGTTCGAGCTGCCAAACGAGGCCTAAGTGAATTCATTAATTACATATTACTTTATACATTTTACATTTTTTTAGATGCCTAAAATACGCCTATTGCATATTTGATGTGCACAATTAATTCTATGCAGATTGTAAGGAAAGAGTTAATGATTTTGCAAAAAGAAAAATAAGACATTAATGTTAAAAAATTCATTGCATGTTAATATCAAATATGAGAATTGTTGGCTTAATTCTATGTATCTGGCATTATGAGTTCATATATATATTTTTACAAAAAAAAAAAAAAACCCTAATATATCTAATAATACATAAAAAAAAAAGTAATTTAACTACCATGTACAAAAATGTTATTTGATTCAAAATGTGTATACATACATACATACATATATTTATATATGTGTGTGTGTGTGTGTGTGTGTGTGTATTTATATAACTAGACCATATTAATTTACCTACCTACTATTTAAAATGTTCATTTCCAAGTATGCAAAATATTGTATACTAACAACACAATATTGCATAAACTTAGGAATTGGATCATGCTTTTGATTTTACCTTTTACCTACAAACAACCATATACCTATTACTTTATATATTTTTACCAAAAAACGTCCCTAATAGGCTAATATATGTAATAATAGATGAAAAATACTTTACCTACCATGTATACAAAAATGTTATTTGATTCAAAATATACAATCTAGGTTTTCTCAATATATATATATATAATCTAGGTGTAGTATGTCACATCCCGGTCCGGGGCAGATCACTTCCCGGGCTCGCTCTACCACCGTAGCACGATATTGTTCACTTTGGGCTTACCATTCCCTCACGGTTTTGTTTTTGGGGAACTCACGAGCAACTTCCCAGTGGGTCACCCATCATGGGATTGCTCTAACCCCCTTCTCGCTTAACTTCGGAGTTCCTGCGGAACCCGAAGCCAGTGAGCTCTCAAAAGGCCTCGTGCTAGGTAGGGATGAGAATATACATTTAAGGATCACTCCCCTGGGTGATGTGGGATGTCATAATCCACCCCCCTTAGGGGCCCGACGTCCTCGTCGGCACACCATGACCAGGGTTAGGCTCTGATACCAATTGTCACATCACGGCCCGGGGTGGATCACTTCCCGGGCCCGCTCCACCACTGTAGCACGATATTGTCCGCTTTGGGCCCCGACCACGCCCTCATGGTTATGTTTCTGGAAACTCACACGAGAACTTCCCGATGGGTCACCCATCTTGGGAGTGCTCTCGCGCGCTACTCGCTTAACTTCGGAGTTCCCATGAACTCTGAAGCCAGTGAGTTCCCAAAAGGCCTTGCGCTAGGTAGGGATGAGAATATACATTTAAGGATCACTCCCCTGGGCGATGTAGGATGTCACATAGTATGTATGTATATATATATATATATTATTTTTTTTAAATATAATTGGAACAAATTAATTTACCTACCTATAAATTAATTTCCAATAATTTACCTACAAAAAATTATACCCCGTGTGTAATATAATATCTTTTTTCCACTAATACATGGAGAATAATTTACCCATAACAAGAAGAAATATAATTTGATGTATTATATTGAAAAATATTATGTCATACCTATATTTATACAACAATAAAATGTGCCTAATATATGTAACAATACATGAAAAATAATTTACCTACAAGTTAGAGAAGTGTTATTTGATTCCAAATATATAATACGGATTTAGTATTTTTTTTTTAATAATTGGAACAAATTAATTTACTTCCCAATTAACGCAAAATATATATATCACAGAAAGGTAAATTTTTGGTATGATATGGATACAATTAATGCAATACAACAATTTATATATTTTATTTCACTTTTTCTACAACTTTTAATTTGGAATAAATTTAGGGATTTGGGAAAGTGGCATGGGTGTAAATAAATTGTATTAGTAGGTCAATAGTGTTCTGATGTGGCTACAGATTTTAATTTTGGACTTTTATTGGACGTTTATATGTAGATGAGTTTTTATCTAGGAATCATGAATTGTAAGGGCCAAAATCTAAAGCATCCTAAAATATTTGAGAGAGAGAGGGGGACGTCTGTAGAGAGAAAAGAGGTCATCTGTTTGTGAGACATGTTTTCTTATTAGTCTTGTACTTTTATTTATAACTAATTTTATAATAATGTTAGGTGTATTAAATTTGTTCATTAAATAATGTGGTACTAATTAAATTTGTACTTATTTAAGTTGAATTGATTAAGAGTTGTAGTAAAAATTTATACGGTGTAGAATGAGCTACTATCGTTTAGTGCATAAATTGGCATATGAAGCACCACCCCTAATTTTGTACTAATCATAGGTAGGGTTTTACTTGACCCCCAAGTAATACAATCATGATAGGTTAAGATACTCTAAATATAAAAGGATTTTACTTTAAGTTTACACAATCACATTCTTTAAATAACTTTATTCATAGCACTCCCTCTTGAGTGTGTACAACTTAAAAGGAGTAGTTGCATCAAGGTTTTCATATTAATAGAGGAGCAATTCGAGTTTTCCGAATAACCACAATTACTTAATTTATTTTTTATATAATTTGTTTTTCGATTCATAGTAGTACCTCTGGACTTATGTTCAAATTCTCTTCTTGTAGTTTAAATGAATCTAGTGCATTTGTCTTACCGTTTGTGAAAGAGTAATATTGATATGCAAATGTCTTCCAACTCATTGCTCCCAAGGTATAAGGAAAGCAATTCATCACTATTACCTAACATGTAAGGATACAGTCTTGTAAGCAACAAGACTTCACCATCCTTCCTAAAATATATAGGAAAACTAATGAAAAAAGCTTGAAAACTTTGAGTTTTAACGAAAATGACAAAATAAAGGGTAAAATGAATAGTACTAGGATTGACTTTTTAGTGTAAAAATATAGTTTTTGGTTAAAATAAACAGTACCGAAAGTTTTTCGTTAAAGTTCCCAAAATATAATGCCTTAGTAATCCAACCGTGACAAAAAAAAAAAAAAATATGGATATTCGCATTGTCGGAAACAATTGAAATGTTCTAGCAATATTTAAATGGGCTACACAATTTCAAATTTAGCTGTTTTTGTTGTAGTAAAAATGATCTTTTAATGAAGACTTAAACAATAAATGGTTCAAATCATGAAATCAATCGTGCTTAAACGCCGTCTTTACATACTAACTGGTTAGTGTGATGAGTCAATATTATACTATATATTTTACCTTTATCTTAGTATTAATTTATTGGTTATTTTGGTAAAATTTTGATACTTTGTTATGTATTTTCAATGTCGGACATCCGACTTCCTTTGGAGAAAAAAGTGATGCAATGGATGAATTTTGGAGTGATTCCAATTGGAGGATGTTCGTGAGTCTTTAAGATGATTGTATCAAAATTTCAGATTTTTCTACCAAGCCATTTGACCATGGCGATGAAATAAAGGTCCAGCGCGCAGCTTTCCCAGATTGACGTTTCTAGATGTTTTGAGTATTTTGGAGGTCAAAATGGCATATTTTGAGGAAAATTCATAATGAAGATTTGTTAGGGACGTCTCAAGCTTTTAAAAGAGACATTTTGGGACCAAATTGGAGTTGATTTGGTTGGTCAAAAGATAGATTTTCTGAGAAGTCCGAATTTCAGTTTAAATAGGAAACCTTTTATTTCCTAGTTATTTTATTCTATTATGTTTCCTAGTTTTAAGAAAACTTTTCTAGGTAGGATTTTATTTTGTAGCCTTAAAATAAGGCTATTTAGCCATTAGAGAAAAAAGGAGAATACATCAATGCTTTGCTAGACTTGGAGAGTTTTTGACGATTCAAGTTTATTTTTAAGGTGTTTTCTATCCATGTTTTTAATAATATTTTGTTTTATGATTGTTCGTAACTAGTTCATTTGCTAGGGCGAGGCCACGAGTCTTAGTAAGAATGTGTAATTTCTTTTCAATTTATTTATGATATTATGCATGCATGTTTTGAATTGTTAATCACCGTGTTTGAAATTATCTAATTGTCTTGATGATTGACCACCATTAGGGTATTTAGAAAAGTAATTTGATGCAATGTTGGCGAAAGACTGTCCTTGGAATTGATTAAGGCTTCTTGTGGTTAATATGTGCAACTTCTTAGGATGGACGACACGTCTTAAGGGTTATATGGTTTTTCAAAAGGATTTCACAAAACTTAATGAGTCTTGCATGTTCACATACAATCTGGACGTGCATGTTAGATAAACGTTATATGTTGGAGGTTCCAAGTAGGATATATATTAGGAAAACCTAACCTTCAAAATATGCATGGGTAATTCATAAGTAATTAGAAGAAATACATAGGATTGTTAAGGTGACAGCGGAACCCTAGTGCTCAAATTTATTTTCTTTTGTTTTCTTTACTTTCTCAATTTATTTAATTGTTTTTAATTAAATTCGTTTTTAATATTTTAGGTCATTAAATCACTTTTTTTTATCAAACTTTGTTTTTAAATAATTAATTAAGATTTGGTTTTAACCTAAAGTATTCATTCAATCCCTATGGAGAACGACATTGCTAGAGCCGACTATACTAAAATTATCTTGTACTCTTGCAAGTATTTTAAATATTTTTATCCTATTTTTGCAGATGGTAAAAATCCCTATCATAGTGCTAAGTGCTATTTTCTGTTTATGTATTAATTCAAACATGGTATACGTAATTCAGATTTCATTTCTTTAGACCAC